AGGAGGAGGAGGAGGAGGAGGAGGAGGAGGAGGAGAAGGGAGGATGATGATGATGATGATTTTTTTTGTTTCCTTAATGGGCCTGGCGGACTCCACAAAGAAATCTTCGAGCGAGAGCGAGGCTCTTTTTCGGCTCCATTGTCAATATGCTTAGAGGCACATCCACTCGTCCAAATAACTCCATTCGAATTGCCATTGTGATGATGATGATGCAGCAACAACTTTAACGAAAAGCAATAGCCTAACAAGGGAAACAATTCCAACAATACAGTACTGCTATTGATTTATATTGGTTGTGTCCCTTCAAACGCGGTTCCTTTCTGGCCAATTAGTTTTATGAGACGTAACTCGGCATGGTTGAGAGGATATTCATTATGCTGAGTTCATTCCCTTGAGTGTCAGATCTTCCATAGAGTGCATCAATATTATTATTACTATTATAAACTGATTGTTATCAGTATTACGGTATTACTGTTATTATTCCTGTTATTATCATAATATTTTGTAATTGCAAAGCAATTAACTCTTTCAGTTCTGAGCGCCTATCTGACCTAGATCTGACAATTCAGGACGTAAAAGGAGCGCTGCTATTTATAAGGACAAGCGTCCTTTCAGCATGTACATGTACATATATTAGTATTGTTTGTCTCTTGGGGGTTTTTTTCGTCGTTTTTCACGCCTGATCAGTCCTCATATTTTGTTCTAACATCGAGAAGGAAAAAACAAACTAGCATTGACAAATAAAATTAACACAAATAGAGTCTAATCCAGGCTCAACTACACAAACTGCTTTTTGCGTGAAAAAAAACAAACACCACAAAACAAGTAGATCTAATAGATGGCTTGTTTTTGTACAGCGTGAAAATAAGGGACGAGCCTCTTTCCAGACTCACAGAAAGAACAGAAAGCAAAACATGACAACAAACACAAATAAAAGTTTAGCAGATATTATTGTAGTATAATTATAATTTAAAATACGCACCATATTTAGGAAGAACTAAAATGGTTTGTAACCCGAGACTCAAAGAGAGGAAAGAAAATCGAATGAGAAAGAATGCAAATAAAATGAATCATACATGATAAAAACAATAAACTTATAAATATAATTGGTAATAATAAGAAGTACATGTACTACTAGTGCTAGGCTAACACCTAAGAAAAACTGAAGGGCAATTGGCAACCAGGGGCCACAGACTCTATCTGAGCAGAGCAAAGCTGTCAAGAGAAGGAATCTGTACAACTATCTGGGTAATTAATATTAGGTCCTTTATCAATAGAAAGCAGTTAGTTGAGTTAGAACCCCGAAACCTATGACTCGTGAGAAGATTTATGATTCTGACATAACCTCTTTGGGTTTTGATGTTAAACGACGCACAAATTGCTTGTCTTACGAATAATTAATAACTGAGCATGATCCATAGAATAGGCACGGGGGGAACATCAAACAAATAAAGCACACACACAAAATATGTATTTTTTATAAATTCTGTGACGCCGTCCTTTGCGTCAATTTCAAAAGAAACCTTTGCGTCAATTCCAAAAGAAACTAAACACTCTTCAGTCTTCAAAATTTTAATGAAGGTCTTTTATAAAGGAACAAAAAAATTCTTCAGTCCTCATAACTTAAATTCAAAGGTAGCTCTCAATATTCATTTAAGAACATGACAGAGCCGGACTTTCAGGATTTTCAGCTTTAGAATCTCTATTAAGTGGTAAGTGTAAGTTTCAATCACTTCGTTTTATAAAATATCCCACATTCAGCTATTGCATTCCAGTTCCACTTTACAAAAATGTTCAGCGTCGGCTCTTCAGTATGGGTTCAAAGCTGCTCGTATAAAAGCTACGGAACTGTCGGGAACCCCTGCTGAAGGAAATAAACCCAAACATTTTTTTTTTTTTAACTCATAGAGATTTTTCAAGAAAATTAAATGAGTCAGTTGTCAAAAAGAACGAATAAGATCTACATGTAGACCCTATACATTTTGATCAAATACACGAGGCCGAGGAGCTCGGTGTGTCGACCAATATGCCCAACTCTCGAAGGTTTTTTTTGTTGTGTGTGTTTTTCTTAACATTCCGGTTCTGAATTTTTTACGCTCCACTGACACTGGCACAGTTTAGATCATTTAGGGGGCAGGCTGCCCCGACCCTGCCATACCCTTACCTGTTATTTAGGATGGAAACCAGTAATCGCAGGTTACATACACACACACATTAAAGAGACATTTACATGCAGTTGAAAAATGCTTCACAAACACATTTTGGAATTGGAAAAGAGGTGTGAACGTTTGGTTTAAGAAAAACATATCGACGCATTGCCTGTCATTTTGTGCTAGGAAAAGCACATAGAAACATATGACGAAGGATTGTAGTATGAAAACAGAAGAGGGGTCAACCAGTGGCGCACTCCAACCACCCACAGGAAGGTGGGGAAATAATACATTTTGTCATGTTTTTTCATCCCTGTCTGAATAGTTTCACATCTCTGGTCTCTCTACGCCGAGGAAAAGGGGCGGAAATAACGGCAAAAGCTACGTTTTGTCAATACCAACAATTTAAATTCTATCTTGATGAAATACTTTAGTACTCGCCATTTACTTACGTACTGACAGGCATTACAGTTTTATTGCAGAGGTTTTTACGCTCCTAATGATACTTATAACTTAGATCATTTTGGAGGACGATTGTCACGGACTGTCTGATAAAAATAAGATCATTAACACTGCATCCGACAAAGGAACACGGGATCCCTC